CCCCGATACCGGGTGGGCACCGGGACCCCGATACCGGGTGGTCACGGGGACCCCGATACCGGGTGGGCACCGGGAGCCCCGAAACCGGGTGGGCACGGGGGACCCCGATACCGGGTGGGCACGGGAGCCCCGATACCGGGTGGGCACGGGGGATCCCGATACCGGGTGGGCACGGGGGCAGAGGTACCGAGAGAGATTCGTGTCGAGGCTTTGCTGAAAGCAGCAGCACCTGATCCTCTCCCATCCCTCCCTGCATCCTCCTGGTTCTGCTCCCCTCATCTCCCCAGGCACCAGGAGCTGCTCTCCAGGGGGTTCCCACCATCCTTCTTTCTCCTCCTCTCTTGTGCAATTTTAATTTAATTTAATTTAATTTTAAGCGGATTTTAAATCAGGGGGAATAATGATTCTCCTTCCTCAGCTCAAGGCTGAGCACTCCTGGTTGGGCTCCCTGGGCAGGGGCTCTCCTGGAATTCTGCCATTGGAACAAAGCCCCACTGGCAGCACATTTTGGAGATGAGGAATGCTGGAATAAACCTGCTCAGCAGTTACAGCACACTCACAATGCAGTTCTTATCAACTTTATTTTTTTATTCTATCTCTTAAAAATTATTAATAAAATGAAAAATATCAAATTAACCAAGTATCTGTGAGGTTCTTCAACATCATTCCCCAAGCAAAAAACAGAACAGAAAGCAGCAAAAGGAAACTTCGTCCATAAAACCATCTACACCCACCCCAAAACCATCTACACCCACCCCCAAAAACCACCTACACCCACCCCAAAAACCACCTACACCCACCCCAAAACCCCTCCAAAGTCCATCTCATCTGATCTCATCTAATTTAATTTAATCATCTATCACCTATCACCTATCATCTCAAATCTATCATCTATCAATCATCTATCGTTTATAATTTATCATTTATCACTCATCTATCATCTACCACCTATAATCTATAATCTATCAATCTATCAGTCACCTATCATCTATCAATCATCTATCAATCACCTATCTATCATCTATAAACCACCTATAAATCACCTATCGATCATCTATCGATCATCTACCATCTACATCATTCCCCAAGCAAAAAACAGAACAGAGCAAAAAGAAACCTCATCCATAAAACCATCTACACCCACCCCCAAAGCCCCTCCTAAATCTAATCTAATCTAATCTAATCTAATCTAATCTAATCTAATCTAATCTAATCTAATCTAATCTAATCTAATCTAATCTAATCTCCTGTCTCTATTATTATTATTATTATTAAATCTCTATTAGATCTAAGTGGGCCAGAGGGTCCCAATCTATGAGATCCCCATCAGGCAAAGAGGCCTGGATGTTTTCAGCCCCCTGCTCCACGGAAATGTTGTTGGAGAGGATCTCCTCGATCTCCTCGTTCCAGGCAGCCTCCAGGAAAGCCGTGGCCGCCAGGGCTTCATCCAAGCCCAGCTGGGTGGAGCTGGGCTCGGGGAGGATTTGCTGCTGCTCTTGGGGCCAGCCCAGGAGCTGCCCCTCTGCACTGGGTGAGCCCAGGGGGAAGGTTCCGGGCTGGCTGGAAGGTGAGAGCTGCAGCTGCTCGGGAGCAGAGAAGTCTCCTGGCTCCAGGAAGGGGCCGAGCAGAGCTTCCCAGTCGGTGAAACCCTTCAGCTCGGTCAGCTCGCCCGGCTCCTCCTGGCTCTCCGATTCACAGCTGGGAACACGAGAGGCCTCAGCCGGTGGTGTGGGCCAGGGCTGCTCGCTCTGCTGCGCCTCTTGGTTCTCCACGGGATCCGGCTTCTGGCTGCTTTCAAAGTCCTCAAACTCCTGCAGCAGCTGCTGCAGCTCCGTGCCGACCTCCAGGCTGTTCTGGGAGCTGCAGGCCGAGGCTGCCGGGCTGGGAACGCTCTGCGCTCCTGGCTGGGCTCTTCTGCCCGAGGCTGGTGGGATGTGCTCTGCAAGAGCTCTGCCCCCTTTGAAGGTGCTGTCCTTGAGCCACTCGGAGTACTGGGGGTGAAGCTTCCAGAAGGCGCCTCTGCCCGGCTCGCCCTTCTCGCGGGGCACCTTGACGAAGCGCTTGTTGATGCACAGGTTGTGCCGGATGGCGCTCTGGATGCAAAAGAGAACAAACCCAAGCCCTAAAGTCCTGCCGGTGTCACCCAGCACGGCCAGGGGCCCGAGCTGTGCCAAGAGCCCTGGGCAGCCCAGCGAGGGCTCCAGAGCTGCTCCTACCTGCCAGCTGGGGTGAGCACGGCGGAAATAGCTGAAGTTGTCCCTGATCCACTTGCAGATGTCTGCCAGGGTGAGCTTGGGCTTCTCGCTGGCTTCCATGGCCATGCAGATGAGGGTGGCGTAGGAGTAGGGCGGCCTGACGTGCGGGTTGGTTTTGTAGTCGATGTCCTCCGGGAGCGGAGGGCTCCAGGCCTGGGGCAGGGTCACGGGCACCGAGCGGGCGGCGGAGGACGGAGCGCGGGGAATGTCGATGTAGTGGCAGAGCTCCTCCGAGGTCAGGGGAAATCCCGGGCACTGGAAATCCACCAGGCTCACCAGATTCTCCCAGATGCTGCAGCGATCCTCGGGGTCCTGGGGGATCGGGGCCAAGCCGATGTGGGCACCCGTGAGGTTGGCCAGCCACATCAGGTCT